TGTCACCTGCCGTCAGCGGACAGGCCTCACTAGGGGGTGACTCTGTGTGCCTAGAGTAAGTCCCCTCTCCATACAGCCTGGGTTCCTGGGCCCTGAGGAGTGGAGAGCTGCATGCCCTCCTCCAGGGATCTTGCCCAGAGCTGTTCCACGTTTTAGATGTGCACAGTGATGCCAGGTCCTCTGGGAGCCAACCCCTAAGTCCAACACAACTGGGAGACCCTGGACAAGTCCCTTCTGTGGGCGTTCCTAAAACTTTGCTCTGCAGAATGTTCCATAGATCTCATTCACAGAAAGCCTGCCAGGTCCAGGCTCAGCCGTGGTCACACAGCGGTAGCACAATGCTGGAATATCAGAGTTCGACTCCCCGGTGAACCGGCACATGTGTGCCCAGGTATGTGCCCATGTGCCTGTGACCCCGGCTGGCTAGGAAAACCTGGTGGTGGACTGTGATGCGAAACCCTGTTGAGCGTGCGTGTCTTTCTCTCCTCTCTCTTTTCTCAAATGAAAAAAGAGAGATTTTTTTTTAACAAGCCTTTCAAGTTCAAATCAGTTTGAGGCTTTATACTGTTCTCCCCAGTTTAAAATGTCTTAAGCTTCTGATGTTCAATATGGCAATAATAATACTATTAAAAAATAGCTGGCATTTATCAAGGGCTTACAGTATGCCAAGTGCTACTGCACAGGTCTTATATGCGTCGTTTTAGTTAATACTTCCGACACCTAAGGATTATTGAGATGAAAGCCACGTGCTCAAAATCCGGGCTTTCCAGAAGAGACCATAGGGAGCTGATGAAGACAGGAGAGAATTAACTATTGGTAGTCATACTTGACTTAGAGCATGCGTCCTAAACTTTAAAGGGCACAGCATCAGCTGGGATCTTGTTAAAAGCAGACTTGAGCTCGGTAGGTCTTGGGTGGAGCCTGCGACTTATCTTCTAATGGCAGTGATCAGTGGCAGCCAGACCGCAGACCCCAAACCAGGCTGGGTGTGCTAGAAGACATGAGAGCACCAGGATCTTCTGCACGCACTGTGGAAATCATTCATTCACTTGTTCACTCATTCATTGGCTGCCATTGGTCAAAGTGGTCTAGTCATGAAGAACACAAGCTGGGACGTTCCGAACCAGACGTTCAGCCCTGGTTCTGCACTTTCCTAAGTGGGTGATCTCTCTGCATCTCAGCTGCCCATCTAGAAAACGGGAATGAAACTGACATTTGATAGCGTCTGTGTCAATATAAAATGCAATCAAGTGAGGCAAAAGTCTGCCCTAGGGCCGAGGGTGCGGTGTGTGTTCTATAAATGGTTGTGGTTTGGGAGCTTGCTTTATTACTCACATTTATTTATTCATTTCAACCAAGATTCCTGTATGGTTCCCAATAAGTTTATTTTAACTCACTTCTGTTTAGTTACTGCTTACTTCAGCAAAGGTTTCCCAGGGTCTCCTGTGGTTGCAGCAGTGGCTCCCGCTACTGTCAGGAAAGAGGAGCCAGCATAGACAAGGGACGAGGTCTAATCATTTGGACGAAAGGTAGAAGGAATTGATGAAGACACAGACACAAAGGAGGAGCGATCACAGCCACTTGGCAATGGCTCCATCAGAAAGGGGGAGTCGAAGAGGGTGCGTGAGTGAGACTGGAATGGGGTAAAATGTCAACAGATCGCAAGCTGTTAATTATCTGGAGAGAACTAAATATTATGTAGGCGATTATCGACAGGCATCTGAAGGCAACAATAGGAGAGCTTGGTCTTCCGCCGAATTCCTTCTTCCTTTGAAGAGGAGCTGAGGAGACGGGCATTAGCATTCAGAGCAGGCATTTTACAGAGAGGGAGAGAGAGGCCCTGGGCCCCCAGAGAGAGGGGATAGGGTGTTCTCTCTCACCCCGCCAGTCCAGCTGATGGGCAGGTTCTCCTGCCCAACACACAGTGCTGTGCTTTGCAAAGCGCCTTTACCCACAGCTCCGGGCCTGGAAATCACAGCCCCTCCCTGTCCACCCTCCCTCCCCCAAGATGTCATCTTTTGAGACGATTTCATGTGGAAGCATCGCTAAGTAAATTCGCTAAATGCCTATTCATCCCCGTCAGATGGGGACTCAGTGAAGCGGGTAATGTGAAAATGGCCCCAGCTCACAGCCCTGAAAGGCGCTTTCTGGGGTTGCCCAATGGAGCTGCAGCGCTGACCCTGGGAGGCCTGCGGCTTCGTGAGCGGGGCCCAGGAGCCCCGGGCCCTTCAATCCTCCCAGTAAGGCCACCGAGAGGCCCCTATTTATTATTCCTACTGCCGGGGACCCATTCAGAGGTTAACTTGTCCCGTATTCATCAGGACAACAATAATGAACTGTCGCAGAGAGTGGCGAGGGGCTTGGTAAACGAGAGCTGCCTGGATGTGGAGACGGGACAGGCCTCTTTATGGTTTGGGAATAGACATTGCTTTAATTTTTTTATAGGCTGATTTCGTTTCCACCTCTCCCGGAGAATAAATGACACGCTCTCCTCGCACACTGTAGGTGACTTGGTGTAGGCACAGGTGGGCTTGACCTTGGCGTGTATGGCAGGGTCTGTCCACACGTGAGATGCACACTGCACAGACACACGGGTCACCCTCTGCGTGCATCCCTGGGATTCACCTCTGCACACCAGTGGCGCTTAGCTCTGGCGAGTGTGTGGGATCTACCTCATTGCAGACCCACGGGGTTGTTCTGGCGTCTGCCACTGCGAGAGCGGCTGGTTTTGAATTGGTGTTTATTTCAGTAATAGGATGGGACATCAGCAGTGCTCATTTTCACTGCGGCATCTCTTAGCTGCTCCGAGCCCCCTCCGTGGGATTATGAGTTGGTCAACATGAGTCATCCAATGAGAGAGCAGGGGCTTGGAGTGGCGAGACTGCGGAGTGGAGGGGAAATGAAGGAGGGGGCCAGAGGTGGGGCGGCTCGGCTGGGTAGCTGGGAGGCAGAAAGTGCAGGGCAATGTGCATTTATCACACACCTACTGTGCACCCTTTTATCCACCGCGTGCATATGACGAGGGACGGGGCGGGGGGGGGGGGCGTTTAA